TCGGGTTGACCCGGCGGGTTGCCGGGTTGACCCGCCAACCCGTTTTAACCTAACCACGCGGACATGACCCGTTGCGGAAGCGCCTTCGCGCGACCCCCCGCATTTGAACCCGGGTCAGTTCCGGGTTCGACCTGAACCCGACCCGTGACCAGAAATTGACACCCCTATTCATCCGTAATCCTCTTCACTTCAACTAAATAATTATTACTCTTATCTCTTTGTTTGGCTAACTTATACATATATCTTTCGCCCATCTTAATATCTAATCTACCATATAAATCATTAAAAGCTAAAATCTTTGCATCGCATTTTGCTTTTTTAGACTCCTTAAGGGGCTCTTTATATCTTTCTCAATTATCAAAATTTTTATATCAAAATCAATTTTCATAACAAATCTTCTTATTTTTTTATCTTTTCTTGCACATTTTGATTCTGCCACTAACTATTTTTACTGTTAAGAGTTTTTCTCTTTGATACTCCAAACACATCTTTCGCAATATTGTTAATATCACTAGCTACTTTTTTCCATATAACATTAGCTTCCTTATGCACATACAAGGTCTTAAGATCTAGTATCTCACTCTCAAAAATATTTTTGTTAATATTCTTTAAAAGTCTCATCTAATACTAGAACAACATTTGCCCCTTCACCTAAAAAATGCAAAAATAATAAGCGATGTTAAGTATATAAACATTTACTCGAAATAATTTTATAATCTTTGCAATCTAAACAATCTATTTTTCTTATAAGAAAATAATCAATTTAAGTTTTATTATATCCATTCTCATAATTAATGAGATTCTCGTCTCTTTTTTTTTAAATAAGATATTAGCAATTACAAAATCATAAACTAAAAAAAATTTATATGATCTTACACCTTCATTAGTCGCTTGAAACACAAAGCCACCATAAATGCTTTAAAATTATCTATCTCTCCACCAACATGTCCATTTAAATCTCCTCTAATAATTTTTTTTCTTTAAGATATCTTTTATATTAAATCTTCCAAGTGATTCCAAAATTTTCATTTTAGACCTAAATACAAATCTAATTGAGGAGTATAAACATTCATAATATTAATAATCTTAGCATCAACAATTATTTTTAAAGTTATAATTATATCTTCAATTCTATTAATTTTTACAATATTATCCTTTGAACTCTTATCTATAATTTGTTATACCGGTCCAAGCGGGACCGGCCCAGGCGCAACGAGGCGGAACTTCCGCCTCCCATTTCAGCCGCAGGCCCGCCTGGATCAAACAGGGCCGAATAGGAAGGTTTTTGAATGGATTTTAGGAGGGAAATTGAATGTAGGGACTGTTTAGGGAATTCCATTTGATTGGTATGCATTAAATAGTTTATTTTCCTAGGGTTGGGTTATCTTGAATTTGGACTGAAATTTGAGATCTCTTATATTTAAGTTTTCTTTGGGCTTTAGCGGCGTCTAGAGAATTGGGAGAGATCGATCCTCCTCTCAAATAGAGGATCAATTGTATCTTGCTATTTTATTCATTGTCTAATGGAATACAAGTCTCGCTTTGAGTTTTCTTTCAGTTTTCCTCTTAAAATCTGCTGTCTTACAGCTGTAAACTGCAGTTTTTCTGTGTTTTCCTGCTGTGGATATCAGTCCAGTCACTATTCTCGTTATTTTTTCAGAAGATTGATAGGACATACTCGCAATCTACAAGTGTTGCCTGGAAGGAAATTTCATGAAGGGGCTGAAACCGGAGATAAGAATAACAGTTAGGGGGCTCGAGCCAAGGAACCTAGGGAAGGCTATGGAGCTGGCGCGGTTGGTGGAAGATCAGAAAAAATTAGAAAGATGAGCTCGAGGAAACTATTATGGAGGATCATATAAGATGACTACCACATTCTTACCATCACAAGGGGCGGCGCCGGGGAGTCTGAAGGAAGCGCCAATGGAGAAAACTGGATGGGAAAATGGGGGACAATTCAAAAAGCTGACAGAGAAAGAGTTGCAGGACAAGAGGGCAAAGGGGTTATGCTTCAGATATGAGGAGAAGCACATGCCGGGGCATAGGTGCAAGGACCGAACTCTTCAGGTTCTCCTTGTCTGTGAAGATGAGGAAGACGAGGAGGGAGGTGGAAGTAGATTTGATGAGGAGGAGAAGCTGCAGCTGGATGTGACAGAAGTCTCTCTGAACTCTGTTGTGGGATTCACTTCGAGTCACAATATGAAAGTGAAAGAAGAGATAGCTGACCGTGAGGTGATGGTGCTAATTGATAGTGGGGCTACCCACAATTTCATTTTCACTCAGGTCGTCAACCAACTGGGAGTGAAATTGGTGGACACCGGTTGTTACGGGGTGATGATGGATACAGGGAAGGTGGAGAAAGGCCAGGGAATCTGTAAAGGAGTGGTGTTGACCATCCAGGGGATTCTTCAAGTAAGGGGGGACTTTCTCTCACTAGAGTTAAAAAACACTGATGTCATCCTGGGGATGAAGTGGTTGCAAGCCTTGGAGGAAACTAAGGACAATTGGGAAGCACTCTGTTAGACCGGTCCACTTGACCGGTCCAGCCGGTCCGCACGGGACTGGCAGTTCGCGAAATGTCGCGCGATCTCCGCCTCCTGCGGAGATCGGGCGGGCCGACAGCTCAAACGGAGCGTTTTAGGAAGGATTTTTGGGGGGTTTCAGAGGGAAATTTGAATGTAGGGATTGTTTAGGGATTTCCTTTTGATTTGTATGCATTAAATAGTAGATTTTCCTAGGATTTGATCATCTTGAATTTGGCTGAAATTTGAGATCTCTTAGATTTAGGTTTTCTTTGGGCTCTAGCGGCGTCTAGAGATTTGAGAGAGATCAATCCTCCTCTCGAATTGAGGATCAATTGTATCTTGCTGTTTTTATTCATCTACTAGTGAAATACAAGCTTTCCTTTGAGTTTTTTCTCCGATTTTCCCAGAAAAGTGCTATTTTTCTGCTATAAACAGCAGATTTATGTTGTTTTCCTACTGTGGACAGCCATTTGGCTGCTGTTGGTTCGCCGATTTTGGTTAGGTTACTTGCGAACTCAAGTATTTCCTATCACACTCACGATGGAATTAATGGTGGATGGGAGAAACATGGTTATAAGGGGAGATGCAGGGCTATCCGAAGTCATAACGCCACTTAAGACCATTGTCAGGGATATGCAAGTGGGGCAAGATTATATGGTGGGACTACACAAGCTGAATGTGATTAGGATGGAGGAGAGAGGGGATGTTTCTCTTTCCGTGCAGCCCTTGGTTACACAATATAGTAAGGATTTTCAGTCACCTCAAGGATGGCCACCTCCACCGGAACACAAGCATATCTCCACCTTGAGGACAAGGTGGATTTCTGGGAGGGGAGTATTATTAGACCGGTCCAGCCGGACCATGCGGGACAGGTCCACGCGTAACGAGGCGGAACTTCCGCCTCCCGTTTCAGCCGCACGCCCACCTGGATCAAACAGGGCTGAATATGAAGGTTTTTGAATGGATTTTAGGAGGGAAATTGAATGTAGGGATTGTTTAGGGAATTCCTTTTGATTGGTATGCATTAAATAGTTGATTTTCCTAGGGTGGGGTTATCTTGAATTTGGGCTGAAATTTGAGATCTCTTATATTTAGGTTTTCTTTGGGCTCTAGCAGCGTCTAGAGATTTGGGAGAGATCGATCCTCCTCTCGAATAGAGGATCAATTGTATCTTGCTATTTAATTCACTGTCTAATGGAATACAAGTCTCGCTTTGAGTTTTCTTTCAGTTTTCCTCTTAAAATATGCTATCTTACTGATGTAAACTGCAGTTTTTCTGTGTTTTCCTGCTGTGGACAGCAGTCCAGTCACTGTTCTCGTTGTTTTTTCAAAAGATTGATAGGACATACTCGCGATCTACAAGTGTTGCCTATCATAATCACACCTACATCATTTACTAATACAAGTCTTATCAGAATAGTGTAGTTTAAATACAATATCATCAATCTCCTTAGCCTTCTCTCCAACGCATTTAGTTTCTTGAATGCATAAAATATTTATTTTCATATGAATCATAATATCTATTAATTTCATTAATTTATCAGTAAGAGAACCTATATTTAATGTTACTATTCTAATTTTAGTTCCATTGACTAGTGCAAGGGCACCTAAGATTATCTGACAATTTTATACTGGTCGTCGACTACCTAATGCAACCCTTCACTTTTTTTATCCAGAACATGGAACTTGGCAACAATAATGTTCACATATGAAAGATGAAAAAAAAGGAAAATTAGAATTACTGGATGGTGTAAAGAGCAAAGGTTCACGAAAAGAAAATTAAATATTGTTCACTGCACGCAAACCCACACAAAACAACAATCCAATGCCTTTTCTCACTATCCCAAAAAATGTTTGGGGGGGTGGGCTGTTTGGTTTGAAACAAACTGAGTATAAAATATTCCAAACACCGGATTTTGAAAATATTGGTGTTTGGTTTGAAGTAAAAACAAAAGTAGTGTAAAATTTTGTTGCATTTAGAATCCACTCCCTAGTTCATTTTTTGGGGTATTTGGAATCTTCGGATTTAGGCAAGCTTCAAATATACTGAAAAATTCATTGCAATTGCGGTCATCAATGTCGGCCGCCAACGTCGACAAGGTCGTTTCTAATATTTTCTAAACAAGTCCTTTTATGTCTATCTCTACCTTTTCTAAAATAAGCCAAACCTAATACATCTTCTTTCCTAACTTGAGGGTTGAGTTAGGAAGTCGACAGCGAACGTAGAATTTGTGAATAATAATAACATGAGTCCTTTTAAGACTTCAATATATAATAAAAGAATTTGTACTAGAACAACCTAGCCTATACTTCAGCATTAATTATAAACGTAAATTATTATCTACCAAATAATCTACAAAAAGTTAGATAAATGTCTCTATCTAGATTCAATTCAGAAGAAGCAGTTTAGATTCTCATTTGGGCCCTATAAAACCAATAAACGTTGAGTGAATCAGTTGAAGATAAGGTACTAACCTCTCCTGTCAGATTCTCACGTTCAAGCAACTGTTCCACAATAATCTGAAGTAATTGATAGTTTTTCTGAAGCATTATTCTTGCTTTTTCATAGGCTAAGTTATGCATCTGAACAAGAAAGGTGTCAAATGGTAAGTATTGAGACACCAGAACCATAAAAGCTAAATAAAAAGTTCATTATGAATAATGCAATGGCAAGTTACAGCCCATATACTTGCAACTTCTTTTTTGAAGGAGAAAATGTCAACAGAAGCAACATCTTTACCTCTTCAACTTTAGCAGCCATATCAAACTCATGCTTATTTCCCATACTTAATGTTCCAACCTGCGTCAGTGCACAAAACATAATTAGATGCACTACTAAACGATGCATCAAAGTTCATATACTCAATGCAATTATTAAATAATCTAATATTCACTTCTAGGAGAAATCATTTGCAACATGTATCGAATTATAATTTATTCAAGTGGACACCATGCAAAACCAGATTTAGGCTTCATTTGGAGCAGCTTTCTTACTGCTTTTTAAAGCAGCTTTCTAGTATAAAAATTTCTTGAACTATAAATTTTTGTACTAGAAAGCTGCTTTAGAAAGAAATAAGAAAGTTGTCCCAAACGAAGCCTTATTTCAACCACTCAAGAGATCTAGCTAAAAACAAAGAAACACGGAAACACTCCGTTAACAAGTTCTAGCAAATATCCAAGTACTATTTAGCGTTTCGTTACAACCTATACACAATATCTTTCACAAAAAAACCTGATGCAAAATTCAGTACTTATTGAATTGAATAAACTGAATTCACTGACTAAATATGAATTCTTAGGCCTTTCATGTGAAATTTTTAAGAGGAATATGATGAATAAGTAATCAAAGTTCATTCAAGGCATGAAAGCCTGTTTGGACAAAAACATGGTTTTTTATGGAATTTTAGAGGTGAGGGCATAACTTTGGTTTAAAAGACAGCCTCTCTAAGATTATATGGTTTATGCTAGAAAAGGACGGGTCAACAAATCTATAGAGTACATCATTCTTCATTCAAAGAGACCCCTCATAAAATATCCAAAATGTTCAAAATAATGTAAGCATAAACTTCCTCTAAAAGTTCTTTATTTTCATTAAATTTTACTTCAAATTTCAAACATTTTAACATATAGAAGTATATTTAAAGATTAATCTGATTGTATATGTATAACTATTTAATGAATAGCTGTTTAACATTTCAATAAAAGTTAAATTAAAACTAAGTTAACTAACTATTAATTTATAACTAATAGCAGTTACTTAACAGTCATTTCATTATTTTATTAATATTCCTGTAGCTTACCCACTTACATAGGCATGCAAGAGCTGGATAGCAAAGGACTATAATCAGCGATTGAGATTTGCCTTGGGAAACATTAGGTGGATTTAATGTTATTATTGTATTAAGTGGCCTAAAGCACTCAAATACAGCATTTCCTTTCCATTTTCTCCTCCCATCCTCGATGCTTCTGGTTCGAAGCAGGCCGTGGGTTTCAGGTGAGTAGGGAGCTGGAAGAGGCGGGGCTGCTGTGGAAGATTGCTACAGCTATTGCTGTTGATTTCTTAGGAAATAAGACATAGGAAAGTGTTTAGGAATTCAAAAAATCTGAAATCAATAGTTATATTTATAATTCATATTTGAATGTATGAAATCTGTTGTATGGAAAATTAATATTCATAAATCTGTTGTATGGCAAATTAATACTACTGAAATTGTGTGCAAAAATTTGTTGTATGGCTGAAAGTATGCTGAAATTAGCAAATGCTTAAATATGTATGGCTAAAAGTTGTATTGCTGAAATTAGTTTTCTTATTTCATTAGGAAAAGAGAGGAAAGGGAGGAGGTTGGATTGAATGAAAAAGAGTATAATTGATGTGGTATATAAAAGAAAAAGGAGTCGGAGAACTTAAATTAAACAAAGTTACCGATTGTAAGGGAGATACCCAAACGATGCATAGGAAATAATAAAAGTTTATATAATTGTGAATTCATATTTCTTATGTTATGATAGCATTCATTTCAATTTATTCCAATTTTGTTGATTTATTAATTACTATTAATTACATTAGCATATTGTATGATTGTGAAAAGTGTCAAAATATTATATTGTTTCTTATACATTGCTTACATATTTCACTGAGTCATGTCTCATTAGCAGTGGTTGTACTACAGGTAAGGGGAAGGAGCCAAAGGAGTAGTAGGCAGGATAGTTAACTATACGTTTTGTGTACATATACTTTTGGATGTACAAAAAGATCTGAGTAGGAGTTGTACATACACTTTTGAGGATGTGAGTAAATTTTAAAAGTTAGTAAAGCTTTGTATTTCATTTGAGATGTGTATTTTATTTGAGGTAGATTATATATGCTTCATGTTGTTAAATACAAAACTTGATATATTAAGAGATTTTGAATAGGCTATTTCTTACTTCCTGATTCTGATAGAGGTATTTCAGAATGAGTATTAAAAAGAAGGTATGTTCAGATTCTTCTTTTCTGTTACACTCTAAATTGACTATAGGAAGTCAAAATTGGGTGTGACGCCTCACCTCAAATATACAAAATTATGATATTTTAGGAAGATTTAGGAACCATGTATCCATTGACCCAAATCAAGTTGTCTTCCTATGTGTCATCTATGTTACATATTAATAGTGAGGAGCCTCAAAAAGCAATCTCCACCAGTAGTAGGGAATCCGACCAAAGGACGTTAATATATCTAGCCATCAAAGTTACATATTAAATTCTTGCGTATTCATGTGTAGTGTTTTGTTGTGCTATCACAAATAAACAAAAAGGATGAGTTTCACTGCAAGTGGTTAGCATCAAATACACATGCATGACAGCAGAATGGAGGAATGCTTTTAAGATAGAAAATGGAAAAATATAAGAAGCTTTGAGTTAGCCAATGCATCAGCACGTATTAGAGTGATACCTATGTACTTCATTCTTCTAAGGGTATCTATATCTATTTTGAGGACATTCTGATATGTAATATACTAATGAAAACCATCTTACACAATAAGATTCTCATGTTCTTATGCTTTGAGAAGCGCCTCAACTGACTTACAAAAGTAAATGTATATGAATTCTTTGCAAGTCATCTTTGGTTTTCTGTATCTAATGTAGCTTTTTTAATCTGATATGTAATATGCTAATGAGAACCATCTTACGCATTAAGATTTCCAAGTTCTTATGGTTTGAGAAGCACGTTAACTAATTTACAGAAGTAAATGTATATGAATTATACGCTAGTCTTCTTTGGCTTTCTGTCTCAACTGCTGAGGCAAAGAAGGCTAAAACTATTTTGGAATGGCCTTCAACAACAAAATATATACAAGGCTAAGAGTTTAGATGGATTAGTATACTTTATACGATATTTGAAGGTGAGATGTAGCATATGCAGTAACACTTAAATGTTGTCCATTGTTTACTGCACGGGGCTTGGCAAAGCAATTCTTTCCTTATTGTATTGAATAGGATTTCCAATATGTCACATAATTTTTATGCAACAAGCCAGCTGAAGAATACCATACTGCAAAACTTTTCTTGATAAGCTTGTGATACTCCATGTCTTCCAAAGTAATTTATATATAAAAGGCTGTCAGGTTCATTGCTTTCAGCTTGTGATACTACATGACTGCATGCTTAAGTTTGGTTCAAAATTTACAGTACGGTTAAGTATTGGATAAGAGGATATAATGCATTGATATAAAATTTCTTAAATGAAGATGTGCGCACATGTATCACTCAAATCAACTCCTTTTTGCCTTTCGCTTTCATATTATATAGGTACACATTCCCCTTTTTCCTTTCCTATAACATGCCATTTTGGACTTTAGCTTTGATTTATGCCTTAGGATTTTGACCTATGACCAAACCAAGGCTCACATTAACCTATAATTGACTAGCAGCTCATTCCACAAGAAGAAATAAGGTTAAGCAGCGTTACCTGCTCAATTTCAACGCATATTAGCATCCCCTTTTTCTAATTCCCCCTGAATGCATACTCTAGCATCAGAAAAATGATTAATATGTGCTTTCCATGGCTGGTTTTTTGCTCAGATTTCAAATTTGAAAGTTGCAACATTGACATGACATTTATCTGGATAACTAAGACTTAACAAAAAATTGGGTTAATTTTATACCAATCATATCTTGTAATCTAAGGATGAGAAATCTTAGTTAAGTGTTGTAGAGATGAGGATACTCAGGTGGATGAGTGACTTTATTCTTAGAGACAGCATATATACGTGAAAAGGTTGGAATAGCTCCGGTAGAAAATAAGATTAGAGGGAATCGATTTAGATGGTTTGGTCACATAAAATAGCGGCCTTCCGATAACCCGGTGAGTGCAGGCAACTACTCCAGTAATGCAAAAGAAAAAACCTTATCTTAAGCTGCAATCTGTTGTCGTGAATACATCCAGTCAGAACATAATCCAAAATGAAGTACATGAAGAGTACAATACTGAAATTCATGATGCAAGTATTAAGCTTTCCAGGAAAGCTAGAAGGAAGGCCAACGCTCTCTTAGGAGCTAATGGATGGATGCCCAATACACTTCAAGAATTATCGTCGCAATTAGACCAATAATGGTTTTAAACCAAAGAGGGTAAAAAGAAATGATGATAAAAAAAATTAAATAAGTCTTTTTAGGAGACTTCTCGTAAATAGTTACAACCACTAAAGAAAGAAGAATCTGCATCTTCCAAAATATCCAAGATACAAAAGGCTGTCAAAGACAAAAATTTGCAATGAAGGCTAAGAAAATCTATCAATAAAGCCATTTATTCAAATATGGCTCGACCTCATAACAATAAAGTTTTAACAAAATCTTATAGAGAGCCTTCTGATAATCTACATGCAATAGACTATAAGATAGGTCAATACCCATATTACGGAAGAAAACAGTTGGGGGAGCCTTCTGATAATCTACATGCAAAAGACTATAATAGAAGATATGATAAATGAAAGCCCCGACAATGATATCATAAATTTAGTCATTCAAAGGTACATTTCGATGTTGGTGGTCGTCAATATGTGAAAACTAAAAGACAACAAATTTGGGTCTCAAAAAGATCCAAATATCTTGAAGCTCATAAAGAGGATCATGATAAGAAAATCTATAAAGGGCGACTCGAATCTCAAGTTCAGAAGTTTTCCCACAAAAAATTAAAATTTATATTTAACCACCTTAATATACTCGGGATCTCTGAGAGGAGGTAATCCATGGCTGCTAATCAGATTTCCTATACACTACGTTCAATTATTGTTAATGTTGGTAGACTGAAACCTGAGGTA